TCCTATATGGTGATGGTGGTAACCTTGCTGATTGAATGTCTCATTCAACAAAAAAAGATGCAATTAAAAATTTTGGACAAAGTGTTGCAGGATTTTCTGGACAGCCTCAATGTTTTGCGATTCTTCCAGTTTGCCGATTGTCCTAATCGACTGAGTGTGAACGCTGCCTTACATTCTGAAGTTTGTCTGCAAAATACTCGAAGGCCGTAAGGCGGTTTCTTATGAAAAGTTTTATGGAACATGTGTGAAAGCTTCTGGAAATATTGATGGAATAAAAAAACATTGGGACTAAGATGGTCGATCTGCATATCTAAGAGTCGCAGTATGCAAAAAGTTATTCATTAAAGGACGAATTCACGCTGAAAAAGCAACCCATTTCAAATTAAGCTAGAGATGGTGAGTGGTACAGGAAAGAAGAAGAAACCATGAGAAACGGCCCAGAACCCGAGAAATGGGACCCCTTCCTTGCCCGTTGATTTGCGCATTGATGCGACTCTCATATTTGTGCCCTCTTCAACACTACGCTCAAGATTGAGCTGGAGCGCCGAGGTCAAATCTTTCACTGCTAATTGCGCGTTGGTCAGCACCCTCAGGAGGTCCGCCTGTCTCCCAACTAGGCCATTTCCCCCTTCTTCGACCTTCGTTCTTATCGCGAATTCGTCCTTTAAGCGCCTTTTCGCACAAGGTGGTCTACATAATGCCATATGTGAACGGTACGGACTACTTGCTGCGAATTTTAATCGCGCCCGACGGATGAATACACTTTCTGCCTTGCCCCGCCCAACGTGTTCACTACTCTCTGTGACGGCAGGGTTTATCTTTTGCTCCAGTTGCTCTCAGAAGTTGAAAGTGACGTTGAAATTATCTCTAGTTTTGAGAGTAGAAACGGTTATTAGGCTTGTGTACTCTATCACCACTCTGAGCATATTCTCCAAAAATAAGCATTTGCTCTACCCAAATGTAAATGGGGAAAGCTTGGTAAGCTTGAGGTAATATAGACTAATCATGGCATTTCCAGTGGTTTGGAAATCTGGTGACTTTAATGTGGTGGGACGATTTATGGTTGAACGAAGGTTTTGCCACGTACATGGAACACATCTCATTGGACGCAATCACAAAAGGCGTCATGAGACTGGTAGAACTGTTTTAAATAAGGAGTTATTTTTTTGTTGTATGAGGAGGTAGTTTTCGTTGTAGAAAGACTACTTCCTCGTCGACACGCTGGAAAGAGCTCTGCAAGCGGATTCAGTAGCCTCCAGTCATCCGTTGTCCTTCAAGGTAGAAAGAGCTGTAGAAATGGCTAGGAACTTTGCAACCCGAATATCCTTAGGTGATAAGTGCAGCATCCCCTTGTGGGCCATGATTGGCTTCGGTATCTGGGAGAGAGAATTGAAACGATGGGAAAAGGTTGACTACTCTTTAGAAGTTTTGGCCCTATGGCACTATTTTAACCCCAGTAGAAAAGAGAATGGGCAAAAAATGCTGGTTTTTTTCTGTAGTGGTTATCACAGCATCTATCACGGGTATTTCATTTATTGGCGCTGGCGCTAGATTGGGAAGTCAACTAAAATTGGGAGTAAACATGGGATATTGAGTTACAAAATGATGCTCTTACTCTAGAGCCTCTAGCACTCCAGGGTCAATTGTGAGGCGGCATTTTCCGGGCAGTGAGCGGGGGGGGGGGGTAGCGGAGCAGAATTGGCAGTAAATGATGTTAACTCCCAAAATGGATGTCACTCCATGATCTAGGCAATGAAGCGGTGAAAGAGTTTATAGCGAATTCGAGTAAAACAATACTTGCACCAAATGACCAGTTTCATGAACCATTTCAGCGCCACCGCCGGAAATGTTTCGTGACTATATTTCGTACCCCATAGGCATTGTTAGATGGAAATAGTTATGTTTGTTCACACATCTCAATCCCGCTGCAGTTGTTCAGTAATACACTGCTCGTCAATCGCTTATGCCAACCCCATAATTTTTCAGTTTTTTGATTTGCTTAAAACTTTCGTGAATCCGACACAATCAGCCATCGCTTCCGGCGTGTGTCTGAAAACTAAGAATTGATGTTGTTTGGCGCTGAGTAACGTGGGAATATGAAATGCTGTGTACTTCTAATGCATTGCAGCCCGCGTGCATCGCCGGGTATGCACACCAAAACTCGCCCACATTGTACATTGTGCATCGCCCGGATGAATCTGTATTTTTGATGCCCGCTATGAACCTGTTCCAGTCTTCTTTGCTTGGTCTTATGTTTATTCTCTATGAATCCGTGTAGAACGTGTGGCATTTCGACAACTTCAATTTCAACACAAACAATCAGATTCTAGTAGCCTACCTACTGATCAAGTTATCATCAATTACGAAATTTGCATGCAGTTTGCGCTTCAACTTCGAGTTTCTTTGGCAATCAAAAAACTGTTATCGGAGAATTTTCCTAATCAACACGTCTACTAGCTCACAGAAATACGTACGAAACCAAGCTAAACACTTATTGGACCTATGAACCGTAGTGATAAGAGAAAACTTAAAAATTCATGGATTGTATGGGAACGAAAGCTCCCGCGCCCTTTCAACAAATCTGCCATGTGGGTCCCGTAATGGAAACGCACGAAATGTTCCACATATGAGAATAAAGCATCGCGGTGTGCGCCGCTATACCGCCATGCCAATGTGCAGACAAGCGCCGAATCGGCGCGGGGGCTGTGTACTTTTAAAGAAAGTGGATCGCATAAATTCTTTATGCCATCTTCAGAACTTCTGCTTTCCTTTCACACTATTCAGCCGCCGGTATGCGTACAATAGGTATGAGGAGATTCTTCACTCATACAATGCACATAAATGGTGGAGCATTTATAACTAATTAGTTCGGAATATTAGCCCTTATACTGGACGGTAGCAGCATGAAAACGCTTTATCAGAGAAAGAGCTGTGTGCTCTCATTGCGATCGCTCCTGCTGCTTGTTGTAGAACTCATCGAGGAGTGTATTCAGGCAAAACTGGAGAATTTGAGTGCTCAAGTAGCCCTCAAATTCACTTTTTGGCGCATCAGATCCGTGGTCAACTTTATTTGTGGTCTCGGCTCCCGCGAAGCTCGAAGCGTTCACGCTCACAAAGTCTCTGTTCAGAGAGAATATGATTCGTACTTACCACCGCCTGGTACCATCGCCAAACTTCGTCGGATTATCTCTGAAAAAAACGGTGTACCGACACAACGGACGTTCCTTCCATCACCTCGATGTCCCCAACATTTATCTGTGCCCTATGTCATCAGGGCGGAAGTGGTGTAGTGGCAAGTGGCACGCTTACCACGCGAGCGGTCCGGGATCAAATCCTGGGTCGTGAGTCGCCCGGGCCAACCAAGCCTTCCATCCCTCCGGGGTCGGTTAATTGGTACCAGACTTGTCTGGGAGGATAAAAACACTGACTTGTACATCGGCTGGCCCCCGCAAGTCATTGTATAGGCCACATCGCATTCAAACGCCACTACGAATGTACAAATGGAAGTAGAATGCGTGCCGCATCCCAAAAAGGGATTGATCAACGGCAAATGCT